CATGTGAGGAGTGGCCCTTCTGTCCCTATTCCCCCACAGGACCTGGTTGTCTCTGTGTATGTTTTTTCTCGTGTTTTGATGAGCATCTGAAGCCAAGATGGATACTGCTGGCCGGTATCATCCACACCTTTTCATGTTTTTATGAAGTTAATTAGCATTCCTTTGACTTCCAAAGACCTCTTATTAGCATTTTTTATAAGGCAGGTCTGGTGTTGATGAACTCCCTCAGCTTTTGCTTGTTGAGGGAAATTTTTATCTCTTCTTTATTTCTAAAGGACAACTTTGCCAGGTATAGAATTACTGGTTGACAGTTTTCTTTTTCAGTATTTGAATATATCATCCCATTTTCTCTTGGCTTGAGGAGTTTCTGTTGAGAAATCCACCCACATGGGGGCTTCCTTGTATATAACCCATCTCTTCTCTTGCTGCTTTCAAATCTTTCTTTAACTTTTAACCAGTTAATTATGATATGTCTCACCGTGGCCCATTTTAGTTTCAACCTGTTTGAAGTTCTTTGGGAATGGATGTTCATTTCTCTTTCCAGGTTTGGGAAGATTTCAGTCCTATTGCTTTAAATATATTATTACTTTCTGTTCCTTCCTCTTCTCTTTCTGAGATTCCCATAATGGGAATGCTGTTTCTTTTTATTGTATCCTTTAAGTCCCATTGACTTTCTTCACACTTTTCAAGTTTTTTCTTTTGATCCTCTAATTGGATAATTTCAAATGTCTTGTGTCCCAGGTAACTTATTCTTTCTTTTGAATGGTTGAGTCTGTTGTTGAAGCTTTCTGTTGAATTCTTCAGTGCAGTCATTGAATTTGTAAGCTCTAGGGTTTCAGGTTTTTTGATATTTCTATTTCTTTGTTGAACTTCTCATTTTGTTCTAATTTTGTTTAGTTGTATGTCTGTGTTCTTGTAGTTTACTAAACTTCTTAAAGAGGATTATTCTGAATTCTATACCTGCTCTTCATTTCTTTAGGGTCAGTTATTGGAGCTTTATTAGTTTCCTTTGGTAGTGTCATGTTTACCTGATTTCTTTGTGATTATTGATTCTGTATTTTGGTCTCTGTGCATGTGAGTAAGCAGTTCCCTTTTCCAGACTTCACAGGTTCAGTTTGGTAGAGGTAGTTCTTCACCAGTCAGCTCGGCTTGGTGTTCTGGCTGTGTCGGCTGGTAATGTCCTTGGGACTGTAGGGTTTGCCGTCAGGGTCTTGCAGAGAGGCTACTACCCATGCTTCGAAGCTGAAGGGGGAGGGGTGCTGCTGGCTGAGAACAGTTGGATAGGACTTCTATAGGGTAGGCTATCGTATGGGTTCTGTGGCTGCCTGGGTTTTCTATACTGTCTTCCTAGACGATCAGGACTGGGTACTATACCCAGCAGAAGGTGTGACTATGAATTAGCTTCCCTGTTCTGGGGGGCAGCAGATGAGCCCCAAGGTCTGCACTGCTCATTTTTTGGGGACCCGAATCAGGTTAGACTGTGCACTAAATTTCCTGGCCAGATGAGGCCACCAGTTGTACTTTGAAGATAGGGAAAGCCCCAGGCTATGTTGTCTTTCCAAGTGTCACCATAAGTAGGGCTGTAGGATGGACTGTGCAGCTTTTCACATGCTCTGGTTAGGTTCCTGGTTGGGGTGGGGGTGGGGTATGTGTGTGAAGGCTATTATAGCAGTGGCTGGGAAATAGTTTGCCTGCCTGAGTAGTGCCCCAAACAGGCCCCAAGGCTGGTAAGGCTCTTGTTTGGGAGTCAAATCAGTGGCTCAGGACAGACAGAGCCACTGTCTTAGCATGGCAAATGCAGAGCCACTGGTCAGATTCTTCATTCAAGTGCTGCTATAATCCACTGCTGGGTGAGCTTCTGAGATTCTCAGGAGCTCTAGTTAGGTTTCCTGGTTAGCAGGGTTGGAGGCTGTGTTCAGCAGTGGATTATGGATTAGTTTCCGTGTCTGGAGGGTGAGGTTGCAGAACAGGCCCCATGGCTGATAAATCTCTCGTTTGGGAAGGTAATTAAGGGTATCTGTGCATCAAACTCTCTAGCTAGACAGTCACCAGTTTGTCTCTGCTAGATGGGAGAGGTGCTGGCTGGGCTCTCAGCTTACATACTGCTTGGCCAAATGCTTCCCCAGGTGCCTCAGGCCAGGTTTCCTGGGTGGGTGGGGCTGGAGGCTACCCTCAGCAGTGGGTGAAGCTATGAATTAGCTTCCCTGCCCAGGCAGGGTGACAGAACTGGCTTTTTGGCTGCCAGGGCTCTTTGTTTGGAATCTTGACTCAAGCAGAACTGTACCCAAGCTCCTGGCCTAGCAGGACTAGCTTCTTTGCTCTTCTAATGGATAGTGCTATCAGCCAGGCTCCGCACTTGAGTGCTGCTGGGGTACACAAATTCCCAGGTGTTAAGCCCAGGCTTCCTAGTCAGGCAGGGCAGGGAGCTATGCATAGCAGTGGGCAGGCTATGAGTCAGCTCCCAGGTGGAGCAAGCTCCAAGGCCTGAAAGGCTATTTGTAGTCTTTATTCAAGCTGACTTGTGCCCTGAGTTCCCTGGCAGAACAGTGCCACTGGCTTTGCTCTGCAGACCATGTCTGCTTGCTCCAGCATTGCGAGGCTGTGCAGTGTCCAGGTGTTCTGGCCAGTCTTTCTGGTTGGGTGTGGCCTGGATGCACACTGAGCAGTGGGTGGGGCTATCACTCAGCTCCCCTGCTCAGACTAGGTAGGTAGTGGAAAATGTGTGTGTGTGGGTGGGGTGGGGTGGGGGCGAGATAAGGGACACCAGGCTTCAGGGCAGAAAGGCTCCTCGTTTGAGGTCCCAAATCAGGCATACCTGTACTCCACTAAGTTCCCTGGCCAAACTGCACTACTCTCTTGGCTCTGTAGATTAGCAAAGCCTCTGGTTTTAGACTACTGCTTGGGTTTTGTAGGTAGGACCTTGGTCTGCCAAGATCTGAGCACTGTTTGTAGCAAGCCCCAATCCCCTTCTGTGTCACAATCTGATTCCCAGTGTTTAAACCCTGCACATTCCACAGAGATCCTAGTGATGCAAGACCACAGTGGTTCTCCCAAGAAGGGACCCACAGCACTCAGTGTCCATGCTGGGCTCTTTTTTCTTCCTGGAGTAACCACAGACTGAGGGGAGACTTCTCAGTGTGGTGCTGCTGCACTGGCCTGGGGAAGAGGCAGTGCAGTGAGTGTGCAGCTGCTCCTCTTACTATCAGTGCGGCCCATCTCAGTCTCCCCGGTGCAGGGCGTGCTTCAGTCTCACCCCACGTCCTAGGTTTTTTTAGTGGTATCTTGTCCTTGAATAGCTGTTAGTCCTTGTGACAGAGAGTGAAGTTGGAATGAGCAATGTCACTCTCTTAGTGACTGCCTCAATTATTATTGTTTTAAGCCAATAAGTTTGTAGTAATTTGTTTGCATTAGGAGAAATAGCTGTTTGTGGAAATACTGATATTGATGCCACTTGAGAAACTCTAGGTATGCAACTTGAAAAACTGAGTGAAGGCAAAATTATCAACATAAATGAGGAAAATGGTTGTGAATAAAAGGATAAAGATATCCTAAAGGAAGCAATGCCAGCAAAAATTTTTTTTATTAATCTATAAATTTACTATAATTTCAAGCAAAGTCTCAACAGGGATTTTGTTAGATCAATTATATCCTGAAACTCACCTAAAGAGAGAATATCAATACCTAACAAACTTGAAAAAAATCAAAGCTGTCTATCACATATTAAGACATATTGTAAATGTTTAATAACCTAACATTTTAATAATTACACATGAATAGACAAATAGATTACTTGGTAATTTAGAAGACAGACTTATTTGTATATGCCTACATGAAATTATCATTTCAAGTTAGTGATGAAAAGTTGAGTCACTCAAAAATAGGAGTTTTGTGACATTATCCAATGCTCAAAATATTGAGTTAGATCCCTATCCCTAAACTCCCAATGGGTTAAAAGCCTGATATAAAAAATAAATCTATGAAAGAAACGAATATGAGAGAGTGTTTATTATTGTAGGGATGTAAAGGCCTTTAAAACAAAGTTCAAAAGTCAAAGGTAAAAAGTTGTAAAAATGACTTATTAGAAAAAAAAAACAAGAAAAGAAAAAGTTCTCATGAAAAAGTGATACCATCAAGACACTGAACACTTTAATTTAGGGGCTCGGGCATGAATGACAGAGAACCAGAAGGCATCCATGGCCTACGTGAGCCAAGTCAGCAAGTGAGGACCACAGGGCCTTGCCCCGAATGCTGAATGCAGCTATGTGAAGAGTGAGTGATTGTAATTCAAAGAAGGTGAAGAAGTAAATGGATCCTTTGAGAAAATTCTTGAAGGGAAACCCGGGTATGTTGATTTTATTGTATCTGTCTTTATATTTGTATTTCTAATAGAAAGACTAGGGTTAGTTTCTTGTTTTGTTTTGTTTTTCATTTTTATATGGAACCAAAAGTAGGGAAATTGTGGTGATGGGAAATTTTTCATTAGATAAATAGATGGATTTTGGAAAAATATAATTAGTTGACTAATCATAAGGCCACAGTGTAACCAGTGTAAAGAAAGTTCCTGAAGAGGCATTAACTGCAGTTGAAAGCCAGAGGAGAAGAGCGTGCACACTTTCTGGGGAACTTTGGGAGGCAGTGGGTTAGGTGGGTTAATGAATGTTCATTATAAGCACTAGGTGGTGGTATAAGCCCACAATAGTTTATTTTATTGCTACTGGGGATTAGCCTGAGCTGTAAAGAAAGTGAGGAAGTGAGATCTGAATGTTGAAAGTACATCTCATTCAGCCTCAGTTTATTATGCTGCCCTGCACTTACTCCACCAAAAATGAAATCAGTCAACATTCTCAAAAGTTGTCTATAAAGTCTTCCAATAAAAAATTATGTATCTCCCCAATTTGATGGAAATTTTGAATGGCTATTTCTGCCCTTTTGGAGTTTAGGGAATTTGTGTTTAGTTTTACTCCTTTCTCTTTTTTAGTTCAAATATATATGGTGTACATTGCTCCCCCACCCACCTCCCTGCCTTTTTAGAACAATTATACTTTGTAAAACTATGGTTCACAGTATTGTAAATGAGGGTCTTACCTCTGTCCATATTTAATCTTGACAAAAATCAGTAGTAGTTCATGACATCACAACATAAGAGAGCATCTATGTACAAACATATACAATTTTATTGATATCTCTACAGACTACAAGAATTTTAAGTATAGTCACAATTGCTGAGTGCAACAGAAAAATAGTAATTTGTCATTTTCTGAAAAGATGCAAAAATTCTGAGGATGAAAGAAAGATACATCAATGATATCATCGGTTTCTTATTTCCTAGAGTAAAACATCACATAATTAAGTACTAAAAATTATAGGTTATTAGAGATTTTGATCTTGTGTACGTACACTTGTCCAAAACCACCACCTACTTTATTTTCTGACTTTGCAGTGAGAAGGGTGGGCCAAAACTAGAGGGAAGCAGTGTGAGAGGAGAGGACTTGCTCAAATTTTCCTACTGACTGTTGTGGCCTCGGACAGGCAGACTCTCCCTTTTTGAAGGCGAGAGCACTCTTTCAGGGGCACTGGAGGCCAGAGAGTGAGTTACAGGCATTCTTCTCCCCTTAAACACAGTCCAGTTCCTAAGAAAATGAATCCGAGTGGCCCTGGGAGCTAAGACGATAATCAAGGAAGAGCTGTTCTCCCTCCTCGCTGAGATCAAATTCAAGAAAATATACCTATCGCAGAACAGGCACCTGGTACTCATTTCTCCTCTGAACAAAGAATGAATAATAAATTTGGACCTAATTTAGTAAATGATTGTTTTGAGCATTTCTATTAAGAAACTATTGAGAATTAGTTTTCCACTTAGCTTTACATGCTGCTGAATTTTTTATGCTATTTCTGGTGTTCTGTGATGTCACATGTATAAGATAATCAAAGCCTAGATGTTTGAATTGGAATAATTAATGGTCAAGTCACAAAGGAGAAAACCACAAGGAGTTGTTATTAAGAGTTAATGGGGCACCATCTGGTCAGCGTTTGCACAGAACATTTGTTTTGGGTTGTGACACAAAATAAATAGCAGTCGAGCCATCACTGTATCTCCTACATCTCGCCTCCCCTGAACCCCGCAGAAGTGGGGCCCCGGCACCAGCCAAGGTGAACTCACGGGCCTCCTTAGCTGCCATAAAACTGTGGTTATACAGTTTGGCTGGACACTGGAACCACATTGGGGGCTTTCAAAAATACTGATGTTTGGCTCCCACTCAGAGATTTTGATATAATTGGGAATTTTAAAAGCTCCTTAGGTGATTCTTATGAACAGCCAAGGTTGAAAATCACTTCCCTACCTAAATATGTAAATAAATGCACCCTTTCAGTGCTTGTGGTTCCTCATCAAAGCCTTTTCCACTCCACTCCGGCTTCCATGTTCCTCCCCACCCCCACATCCTTGCATCAGATCGGCACTTCCTCTCTCCCCTTCCCAAGTCAGACCTCACCTGGTCTGCATTTCATCCTTTCAGGGTTATGTTGTCTGTAAATATATATGCTAATCCTGCTACATGACGACCATGCTCCCCGGAATGGTGGTATCCCAGCATACTATGTCCTGGCAAGTACTCTGGCACTGGGGGCAGTGTGTATATGACAGAGTACCTTGTCACACACCAGGCCCAGGCTACAAAGGGCCGAGGGGAGGACGCTGTGAAGGCTGCCGTGTTTCTCCCCCCAGGCACAGAGCAGAGCCTGACAGGACTGTCTGAGTCCCTGTGGCACCACCCTTCTGAATGAAAGTGGCGAGTTAAGACATGGGCCCACAGGGGCAGGAATAATCTCACGGGTTTGCTCCTGGGTTATCCCAGCGATCCTGAACCAAGAAGAGGATTTTTAGTTTACATTTCTAGACCCTCTTCCTTTTCCCTCTGCCAAACATCTTACAACCAATTTCTCCAAGAGCTAATCCTAATTTTCTTCAACCAACCTAGGGCACATACATTTTTTTTCCTTGTTCAAAGCAATGGTCCCCCCTTAATGCAGGTAGCTGACAAATGGTACCTTTAGAACTAGACATGTAGGTCACGTGAAAGGACTCTGGCTGTGCATGTGTTCCTTTGCAACCCCCTGAAGATCTTTGAGAAATAGAGACCTGGATTCTGATTTACTAGCTTGAGAATCATTCACAGGCTATAGATGAGATCTGAAAAATGTCTCTGTGACTGAGTTACAGGAGAACATCTCACTCAGCTATGTCGCTGTCCTTCCAAAGCTGGTCCGACAACGACCGTGAGGGTGACCGGGATGCTAAGTCTGTGTCTCAGTGTAGTCTATGTAGGAAGCAAAATCAGTAGTGCTGCTTTTGTAAGGAATTAAAATAAATGATAAATCAGTCATCTTTCTTCCAAACCCCAGGGTCAATGGATGATTTCAGGATAGGAATTATTGCTTATTATTAGAACCAGAGAAACAAACATGTCTACCTTCCCACTGATGAACAGAATGCAAAGGCCCATTGTCTCCTGGGATAAGAAAGGCTCATCACCTGAAGGAGTTAGAGGGAGATAAAGTCAATCCGTAGAGACCGTGGTTTACAAGCCTTATTTTCTGATGCTACCTTGGCAGACAGAATGTAATTTTGATGCCAACTAGGCTCTGAGTCCTTTTCTCTATCAATCATTGTCCAAGTTATTAAGAGTATTTTTCTTATGTTCTAAGATAGAGGCAAGACATTTAAAGAGTAGATAAGAGATATTTAAAGAATTACATGGATCAATAGTACTCATTTGCCAAAGACAGTGGTGTTGACGGTGATGCTGATGGGAGGAGGGCGGTGTACGCGTTCACGCATGTGCTAAGGTGAGTGCAACGGAATAGAAAAGTTCAAAGAGAAAAACCACATCCACATTAGATTCTTATTATTGCTATCTCTTTGAATTATAAAAATAATTTTGATACAGTAAAACCTCATTAATTTGTATTCCACTAATCAGGAATTTATGGGATCAAGTTACCCTTACATTATGAAAGGGTTTATAAAAACAATATTGAAAGACACATTTAAAAAGAATCTCTTCTTTACAAGCATTTCAGAAGCACCTGTTTACTTCCAGTTGTGCTAACTTTTGATCTATTCATTAAAGCCAGAGTTTTAAGCACTTCTGTGAAACACTCTCTTGTCCTTTTTGGTATTTTCTTTGTATGCTTTAAAATATTCTGTAACTGTTATTTTTCTACTGATTCATATAAGCTTTCTCCAAAATAGCATTTTATTGCATATTGAACCACACTTGTAATTTTGGGTATAATAATTTCTCTTGTTAAGACACTGTGCACTTATGACATTCAATTTTATACAAGACATATATTATATATTCACACTTAGCCTGTCTTTAAGTGATGTGGAACAGTGGCTCGCATTTGGGAGCAGTGTGGGCAATGGGTGGAGACGTTCGTGGTCGTCATCACTCAGGGGCGGCTACTGGCGTCTGGTGCACAGAGGCCGGGGATGCTGCTGAACATGCTGTGGTGAAAGGACAGCGCCCCGCAGTGAGGGTGCAGCGAGCAGCCCGCCGCGGAGTACCCTAGTGAAGAACAAGTCATCTCACGTCTTACTGGGCCTTCACAGACAGTCATTGAACTTAATGCCACTTTGAACTGAGTTTCATTGTTCCTAAAATAAACTAACATTTTAGATTTTTTAAACATTTTTTAAAAATATAGAAATGATAAGTTATCTATTCAGAAAAATCAGAAAACTGGGTCCTTGAAACTGAGACTGCACTGCAATCTGACTATCAGTGTTTCCCAAATCCTAGTCTCCAGTTTCTTTAATATTCTTACCATATAATTTTATGAATCATATTGTATTTCCAAGTCAGGTTTTGTTACCCCAAGGCTGTTCACAGGAGTCTGGAGATATTCATGGAGAAGGTTTTACGAGAAATCAGGCGAATTCAAGGACACTGAGAAATGCCATCTGGGTACACATTTGCTGCTTCTTTCAAACATCTCTGCTCTTCTCAAAATTAGTAAGAATATTTAAAGGAAGTACCACTTCAAACAAATTCACTAAAAATAAAAAATAATCTAAAAAACCCAAGAAATATTCAATACTATTTTGGCTATTAAAATAAACTGGCCTTTAGGAAAATGGTGGACTCTTAAAACACAGATATATATAAATCTAGTAAGATCTTGATTAATTGAAATTCAATAAACCAAACTCATTAATTCTTTAAAAAAATTCTTTTTGAAGGAGCAACATATTATAGGATGAGTCCTAGCATCAGCATATATTGATTTCTACTTTTGACTCCTAGACTTACGTTAAATAGAGAGAGTAGGTGTGTTTGTTTTGTTTTGTCTCTAGTTGTCTGCTGAGTTATGAGAGATGCCTTTGACCCTGTTAAGGATATTCTTTATTTCATTTTGAAAACAGTTTTTAATAAGGAAAAGGTATTTGGTATTTACTGACAGAATCCTCTGGTTTATAACAAAATTACTGATTTTGTATCATTCAACTTTCTGTGTATTTCTGTTGCACATAATGGTGACTGAGGCCAGCATAGCAAAAACACTGCCATATTTTATAAAGATTTTCAATAAGTACTGAACCAAAATTATTTTCTAATGAAAGCCCTTGTTAGTCAGAAATGTAATAAATTGGAATCTCTTTCCCAAAACATTAACTGAGGTTTTACTGAATCATGCTAAAGAGAATGACCAGTTTGGTCTGTGTCAGGCTGCAAGAGCACCTTTGGATTGAAGACCCCACTGGGTTTGAACAGTAATATACTGTGTAATTGGCAGACAAGGATACAAATGGAGCATTAAAAATGTATCACTTTAGAAACAAACCAGAGTGTGTGAATTAAGTTCTCAAAGCTAACTGCATTGTTCTTGTAATCTAGTTTCCCCAAACCTGTCAGTCAACTCCCTTGCAGAGAGTAAAACTGGGCTGAAAAAATGCTTTGAGGTGTCCCAACCCTGCATGGTTTGTGGCTAAAAATAGCAACTTGTCCTGAAAGTGATAGAAATGGAAATAATTGTGTTAGAAATAATTTACTATACCAGCAATACTTGATTGTGACTGAGAACTATCAACGATGTAAGATACTATGGAGCGAGAGGAATGTTAGTCAGACTTTTGCCATCAGAATTTGATAATGTTTTAGTATAATTAAAATTAGAGATGAGAAGAAAATTTGGTTTTGTTTTCTTTTCCTTTTCAGTTGGGTATGACAAATGTACTTGAAATGCACTGATAATTTCTAACGCAGATTTTTAAAACTGTCAGGTGTGGCCCATTTTATAAAAATAGTTTACCATTAATCTTTTTTTCTTCTATCACAACATGCTTTTTTTCTTTTCCTCTTAAGATGTTAATTTATCATGCAAAGATTTTTTTCATTAAGTGCATTAATGCTTTTGTTTGTACAGGGTTTTTTCAAATCAGGAGAACTCCCCGTAGTTCCTGAATATAAATCCTTAGCAAATAATGTGCCAAGATGATACCTCCAATCCACGTGGGAAAAGGCAAATTCAGCCATACCTCGGGATTCTAACCAGGGTTCCAGACTTTCGGTTGTACAGTGTCTCTGATAAGTCTCTCTTATGATAACTTCAGATGGACTGTAATGGAACATTTTGTAGAAGAAACTGGCTTCTAGCAGTCGGATAGTGATGCTGGGAAAAGATTTGGTTTCCCTGAATCATGGTTTCTCAGAGCAGCCCCAGCTTCTTTAGAAGTTTAGAACTGGTACCATTTCTTATCCTTATATTTCAGCATTAACTGCAAAGAAAAAATAGTCACCATTAGATGTTAAAAAAATCTTCAAAAGTGTGAATCAAACAAGCTCCTAATTAAGTTAATCATGAATATCTCAGTGTATCTTAAATCTTATAAAACGTCCTTAATTTTGTAAAACAATGGAAAGCAAGTCAAGCTGTAAAGACTCAGCTGACAGGAAATCACTTTTAATGACTGAGACACAAAGGAGTGTGTGGCTCTCAGCTGCCATGTCCTTCACACCTTCCAGGGCGAGCACATCGTCTGGCCACGCACCAGGTTAGCGCATGACGCACAAGGTGCATCCGCTGTATCAGCACTAACGGGTCATGCGCTTTTGAGTTACCCCAAAGATAATGAAGTATCAGTGTGTTACAGTATTCTCTAAAAAGCGTTTTTCTCCCAAATGCTGGGGGTAATGGTAGTACTTATGCTGTAATGAGATTCACGTTACCTTGCCTCTGGCACAGGATGTTACAGCTGCATCTCTGTTTAAGCTTTCCTGTGCAGAGCCTGAATGTGTCCAATTATTACTGTGTGAAGATGTCTATATTTTCTTAGGCAGTTTACCTCATGTGCATGTTTGGAAAATGCTTCTGCACTGGTCATCATGCCCGCAGTTTTCTCCTCCAGCTCTCCTAGCCTCTGCCCTCTCTCGTCCAGTGCGATCCGTGCGCGAGTCAGCTCTCCCATCACCCCGCCGGCAGCGCCTTTCACCCCTTCGATGCCACCGGGCCCAGGAATGTGTTGCGCTAGGCTGCGGGACGCTTTTCCTGCTGAAGCTTCCCCAACTGGGAATTCAAGCGATACCAATTTTAAACATTTGTCAGTCATTCAAATAGTCAGTCAAGTTTATCATCAAAGTAGTTATATTAAATTCTACTGCCATAATTCTCCAGTAAGAGACATATTTGACCCTATCCTAGATTTGGAGATATTAGCAACCCCAAAAAATGCCTACAGAAGAGACGGTGAGAGTTCCAGCCAAGATGGAGGCATAGGTAGAGACCCGTTGTTCCTTGCACAACCAAAAGGACAACCACCAATCTGAAATCAATAAACAACAAAAAATGCCAGAAAATCAAAGTGCATGGAACTACAACAACTAAGGAATTAAAAAAAACTTGACCAGAACAACCAGACCAGTAAGGTGGTGGACATGCTGGCCAACTCAGAAAAACAGGAGAAACACAGACATTGGGGGCGGGGCTGGCTGCCCAGCTTACAGGGCCTCAGAGTTGCCCTGTGGGTTACAGGGCAACTGGCTGTGGGTTACAGCTGGGGTTGCCACCGCAGGAGAAACTCCCAGTCTCACAGGAGAGTCAGAGAGTCCATTGAAAAGTGAGCTACAGAGGAGCAGGCGAGCCATTCCCTCTTTGGCCCCTCCCCTACAGGCAACACCACAGCACAACAAGGAGGGTTGCCCACCCAGGTGAATACCTAAGGCCCCGCCCCTTACAACCTATCAGCTGCTCCAAGACAAAGAAATATGGCCCAAATGAAAGAACAGAGTAGAGCCTCAGAAAGAGAGCTAAGTAATGAGGAGATTGCCAACCTATCTGATGGAGAATTTAAAGCCCTGGTAATCAAAATGCTCACAGAACTGATTGAGCTTGGTCAAAAAATGAAAAAACAAATGAGGGATACCCAAAGTGAAATAAAGCAGAATGTTCAGGAAACCAACAGTGACAGGAAGGAAAACCAGAACTCAACACAATGATTTGGAATAAAAGGAAAAAATAAATATCGATCCAGATCAAAATGAAGAAACAAGAATTTGAAAAAGTGAAGAGACTTTTATAAACCTCAACCTGAAGTGTTCCAGTATCCAACTTATAGGGGTGCCAGAAGAGAACAGGAACAGCAAGAAATTGAAAATTTATTTGAACAAATAATAAAGGAGAACTTCCCCAATCTGGTGAAGGAAACAGACTTCCAGGAAGTCTAGGAAGCCCAGAGAGTCCCAAAGAATTTGGACCCAAGGAGGAACACACCAAGGCACATCATAATTGCATTAGCCAAGGTAAAAATGGAGAGAATCCTAGAAGTAGCAAGAGGAAAGGAAACAGTTACCTACAGAGGAGTTCCCAACAGACTATCAGCTGATTTCTCAAAAGAAATCTTACAGGCAAGAAGGGGCTAGAAAGTATTTAAAGTCATGAAAGGCAAGGACCTACATCCAAGATTACTCTATCCACTGAAGCTTTCATGTAGAATGGAAGAGCAGATAAATTGCTTCCCAGATAAGGTCAGGTTAAAGGAGTTCATCATCACCAAGCCCTTATTATATGAAATATGAAAGGGGCTTATCTAAGAAAAAGAAGATCAAAAATATGAACAATAAAATGACAACAAACTTACAACTATCAACAAATGAACCTAAAAGAAAAGAAAAACAATGGAAACAAAAACAAAGCAAACAACTAGAACAGGAACAGAATCAGAGAAATGGACATCGCATGGCGGGATTTCAGTGGGGAGGGGAAGGTTGGAATAGGGAGGAAAAAGTACAGGGAAGAAGAAGCATTATTAGTAGGAATAAGGTAGACAGGGAGAGAGAAAAAATGGATGGGAAGCAGAGGACTCAAAGAACTTATATGTACAACCCATGAATGTGGACTAAGAGGGGGTAATGCTGGAGGGTTGGGGAGCAGGACAGAGGGGGGATATAGGGGGAAAAATTGGGAAAAATGTAACAGTATAATCAATAAAAAATATTAAAAACAAAAAAAACACAAAAGTGACTGTGAGCAATATTGTTGCCATAAGCCTTTTCTGTGTGTGTGGATTCCATACAATATGGCATAATTACATTTTTTGGTTATTTTATTTTATTTTATTTTTATTTTAAATTCTTTTTTAAAATTAAATTATTTTTTTTTTTATTTTTAGAGGGAAAGGGAGGGAGATAGACAGAGAGAGAGAGAAACATCAATGTGCAGTTGCTGGGGGTTATGGCCTGCAACTCAGGCATGTACCCTGGCTGGGAATCGAACCTGGGACACTTTGGTTCCCAGTCCGCGCTCAATCCACTGAGCTACACCAGCCAGGGCGGTTATTTTATTTTTTAATTATGGTTGACATACAATATTGTATTAGTTTCAAGGGTACAATGTAGTGATCTGACATTTATATATACCTTATGGAGTGACCATCCTGATCAATGTAAATACATCTGACACCATATATAGTTATTAAAATGTTATTTGACTATATTCCCTATGCCATACTTTACATCCCTGTGGCTATTTTGATAACTAGTTTGATGACTGTCCATTTGTACTTCTTAATCCCTTCACCTTTTCCACCCAGTCTCCCATCTGGCCATGGCCAATTTGTTTTCTGTATCTATGAATTTGTTTGTTCACTTAAATTTTTTTTAATTTACTTTTTTTTTTAGTCAACTACTGCTTGTTTGAGGTTTTTGGATCTTTGATAGATTTGGGGAAAGCCTGCAGTGTGATCTGAGGCAGGCCGCTTGTAAGGGGGTGCCACGGGGAGAGGCTCAGGCCAGGCAGGTGAGTTGGGTGGGGCAGGGTCTCAGGAAATCACCAGGGCAGAGGAAGCAGTGTTTATCTGGTTGGTTAATGGAGAGCACAGATTTGGTGGGTGGGAGGGGAGCTCCCCAAAGAACAAGGTACTGAATGCTTTTGTTCCTGGAGAGAGTTGCTCTGACCCCTGCCCCTTTAGCCCTCACCCCGAGGTTAGTCAAATTTAGTCCCTCCCCTAGGCCCCTGGTGCTTTTTGAGCTGTTTCCCCTGTGCTGGAGCATAGAGCTCATGGATTTTTGAGTGAGTGAGTCTGTGTACAAACACCTTAAGAGGTTCTCCTCAGTCTCTAGTAGCCCCTTGTCTGTCTCAGATGCAATGCCCACTGCTCTTCACACCCAGATGTTCTGGGGACTCTTCTTCCTGTTCCTGGAGGCCTGCGCCTCCAGGGAGGCTAGTCTGGGGCTAGACCTCCAGCTCCTTAGGGGACCTCCATGACTGACCATTCCCTCCAGAGTCTTCACCACACTGTGTATGTGGGACCTGCCTATTCTGAGTCTCCACCCCTCCTACCAGTCTCGATGTGGCTTCTTCTTTATATTCTTAGTTATAGGAATTCTGTTCAGCTAGTGTTCAGGTGGTTCTCAATGATGGTTGTTCTATAATCTAATTGTAATTTTGATGCGATCATGGGAGGGGGTGAGGAGAGTTTACCTACTCTGCCATCTTGACAGGAAGCCCCATAACTGCATCCCTGATGTTGCCAAGTTGGGATGCTCGCAATATATGTGAACTCATATTTAACCCTCACGAGTGCCTGTTCCAATCTCAGGTCTGTTCTTTTGTCTAGGTTTCAGCCGGAGTCTTCATTCCAATGTTCCCTGTTTATCTTGCTATTGGCCTTTGTAGGTCTCAGTTGTTATTTTTAAATCTCTTGGGGGTTGTGTGTGTAAATACGAGAGAATGGGGTATGTGCATGGTGGACATTAACACACAAATGTTTACACAAGACTTACTTTATAACAGACAAAAAATTTACCTGTCACTTACAAAGCTCAGTTTCATTTAATTTTAATGAAATAAACATTTTTAAATGGAAGAACAGCTTGTCTTGGTAAAAATTTAGTAAGCATTTCCAAAGAGGTAACATTAGGAATGGAATCTAGATCTACTTTTTAAAAATAAGAGACTTGTTGGGATATAATTCACATACCATAAAATTCATCCTTTTAGTCAGTGGTTTTTAGTGTGTTCACAGAGTGCTACAGCTATCAACATTGCCTAGTTTAGAATACTTTCACTGCCCGGAAAGAAAGTCCATAGCCATTAGCAGTTGCTCCCCATTCCCTTCCTGCCCCAGTGCCTGGCAGCTACTAATCTACTTCCTGTTCCTGTAGAGCTGCCCATTTTGGACATTTTATATAAGTGGAATCAATAATATGACGTGTGGCCTTTTTTGGTTTTCCTTCTTTAACTTAACATGATGTTTTCCAGGTTCATCCATGTTATCCAGTTTCATGCCTTTTTTATGGCTGAAGAATATTGAGTGTATGGAAGTACCTAGATCGTTTGCATGGGTAAAAGTTTAAGAGAAAAGGTTTTTGATTGGTAAGATTAAATGGTGATGAGGTATTTTGGAAAACACTTCCTCCCCCACCCTTTTTAACCCCTCTCCCTTTTGGAATCCATTAGCCTATTCCCTATATAATGGGTCCTTTTTTACTTTGTTTGCTTGTTTTGTTTTTTAGATTTCACATATAAATAAAATCATGTAAGTGATATTATGGAATTTGTATTTCTCTGTCTGACTTACTTCTCTAAGCATAATTCCCTCTAGGTCCATCCATGTTGTTGCCAATGGCAAGACTTTATTCTTTTTTGGGGTTGAGTAATATTTCTATATGATATATTTGCAACTAAGTGACAGGATGTGCTAACTAATAAGATGTGATATATATATATTATTATCAAATTCATCTTATTATCTTATTCATCACAACTAGTATCTTATTCATCACAACTAATATAACATTTTTATCATCTTTATTATCACAACTAATAAGATGTGAGATATACAGATTCACATCTTCTTTATTATCTTATTTATCACAACTAATATAACATCTTTATTATCTTTATTATCACAACTAATAAGATGTGAGGTATATAGATTCACATCTTTACCCAATCGTCTCTCTCTGGACGGACACCTGGGCTGCTTCCGTATCTTGGTTACTGTGAATGATGCTGCAATGAATGTAGGGTGCATATATGTTTTGAAGTACTATTTTGTTTTGTTTTTTTTGGATAAATACCCAGAAGTGGAATTGCTAGGTTATGGGCAGCTCTATTAAAAAAAAATTAAAAAGGAGTATCTGTACTGTTTTCCATAGTGGCTGTACAAATTTACAATTCCACTAACAATGTATGAGGAAAATACATTTTCAACTTCTTTCTAAAAATGTTCCTTAGTCTCTTTCTACTGCTTTCAATTATTGTTCATCAGAGTCTCATTGGTAGATATTAAAAGTAATTCATTCTGTAGCACTGATAAACCTTGTGTTCTGAATAAAGAATCTGTTTTTTTTAGCAGTGGTTAAAGACATACTGATTAAAAAATGTTTTTTTTTTCCAGACTTTAGTAATTGAATGTCTTTACCATGGCTTGCAGGCATGATTTACCTGCAAATGACACATTTATTAGCTTACTCATTATTTGTGTGAACTTTATTTTCTGTTTTTGTTATGCTACTTCCTACTACAAAGTGATCAATTTTATTCAAAAGCAAAATAATCTAGTCTAGAATTTGAAGTCATATATCACATTAAGTTACACACACACACACACACACAAGTCTTCTGTTTTGTGATATAAATTTATGATCAAGAGTTTACTCACAGAGCTCTTCTCTATCAAATGTCTGTCCACTTCCACCAAACAGTCCCTTTAGAAAACCTCTGTTTTGAGCTTCTGGTGTTTCTATGGGAGTAAACAAATCTCCCAGCATGTCCTGTATCAAATAAAATAAATAAATCAATAGATCAAAAGAAAACATTGTGATTGTTAGAGCACATTGTGAAGACATTTTTTTTATTGTTGTTCAAGTACAGTTGTTTCTATTTTTGCCCCATCATGCCCTCCTGCCTCACCCATCCCTGCCTCTCACCCTTGATCCTACCCCCCTTTGGCTTTGTTCATGTGTCCTTTACACATGTTCCTTAATGCCCCTTCCCCTATTTCCCCTATTATCCCTTGCTCCCCTCTCGTCTGATTACTGTCAGTTTGTTCTTTATTTCAATGTCTCTGGTTATATTTTGCTTGCTTGTTTGTTTTGTTGATCAGAGAACTAAAAATGGAACTGCCTTTTGACCCAGCAATTTCGCTGCTGGGACTATACCCTAAGAATCCTGAAACACTAATTCAAAGAACCTATGCACCCCAATGTTCATCGCAGCACAATTTACAATAGCCAAGTGCTGGAAGCAACCTAAGTGCCCACCAGTAAATGAGTGGATAAAAAAAAAAAACTATAGTACATTTACACAATGGAATACTACCCAGCAGAAAGAAAGAAGGAGCTCCTACCCTTCACGACAGCATGGATGGATCTGGAGAGCATTATGCTAAGTGAAATAAGCCAGGTGGTGAAAGACAAACACCATATGATCTTACCTATATGTAAAAAGACAGTTTGCTTTCCATATTTTTCTGGTGATTTTTTTCTTTCCCCCAGTTTACTACACTTGGTTTATTCCCCTTTTTGTCCTATTACATTTTTTCCCTGACTCTCCACTCCTTATTAAACCTAGCATAAAAACACCCAGGTTTAAACACTTCTTCAGGTTTTTATTTCCTTATGAAGATTCCCATGTCATGTAAAACTTACATTCAATAAATTTGTATGCTTTTCCCTTGTTAATCATTTTTTTGTTACAGGAGTCCCAGCCAAAAGCTTGGAAGGCTTAAGGAAGATGGTGTTTTTCCTTTCCTACACAGGCTTGGAAGAGTTCCCTGTTGATTAGATTTTGTTTCAAATCTACCTATAATTGAGCTGCTGGTTCTGGCACTGGAAACTACAAGAATATTCCCAATCACAAGCAAGCGGGAAGTTGCTGGTGATTTTTGCTTTGCTCCTGGTTCTATCTCTGGCATTTCCTTCTCCTTCTTTTCCATGCCTTCTTTAATAATTGACATCCTAAAATTTTCATTTTTCTGTGCTCTTCTTCCCTTTATACTCAGAAAGCATGGGAAGATAATATGTTCATTCTAGGGTTAATTTTCACCCGATCAATGACTATCAAGTTAGACTTCTGGTCTTTTTCAATTACTGTAGCCTCTGTGTTCCTAATCCCTCTCCTAAACCAAGCATGGAGTGCCCTGTGAAATGGGAAGCCTTTGGTGGTATATGGAGAAAGGTTGGATTTATTTTTATATCAATCACAAATTTATTAAATGGCTCAAGATAATTTAAATGGGTCAAATAGGCAGCCACTACCTGGTGAGGTGCAATTGTTCTCAATATTTGGTGTGCTTTAGAATAACTGAAGAAAAATCTTGTTAGAAAAACAGATGCTCAGGCTTTATTCCATGCATATCAAATCAGAATCTACAAAGACATGCTCTGGTTATCTATGTTTTAAATTTGCTCTCCAAGTCTTTCTAAAGCTGGTCAAAATTTAAGAACTATCAATACGGAGAAAGGAACTACAACCAGAAATCAGGACATCTGTGACCTAATACCGGTTTGCTTGTGAACTTGCAGCATGACTTCATCTTCATCACCTCCCCTCGTCTCTGCTCCCCAGACCAGTACTCTTCCTTAATCCTTTCTCTTTGGAAATGGCAGTGGTAGTATACCATCTAATTAGTTCCCCAAGCCAGAAACCCAAAAATAGTTACTGATTCCTGCCTTCCCCTCACTCCTACCTCTAATAACCCTCCAATCCAACTGATTACACTTCTAACCTATTGAATTTGCTGACTTTTCTCCACCCGCACTGCTGGCTGCTGTATTTGAAGCCACTGTTATTCGGGGCATACAATTATTTTTAAAAAGCCTCCTAATTGTTCTCCCTACCTTCAGTCTTAATTCTTCAAAACCACTTGCCATACTGCAATCAGAATATTATTTTCAATAAACAAATTCACTAAATGTTTTAAAAATTTTTATTTATTTATTTTCAGAGAAAGGGGAAGACAGGAAGAAAGAGAGGGAGAGGAACATTGATGTGACAGAGATACATGGATCAGTTGCCTCCTACAGGTCCCCAACCACCACCCACAAGCCAGGCATGTGCCCTGACCACGGGAATCAAACAGGCACCTTTTTCCCTGTGGGGTGATGCCCAACCCATTGAGCCACATCAGCCTGGGTTGAATTTGCCAAATCTTTTAAATGACTTCCTGTTGACTTCCTGTTGCTCTTGGGATAAATGCCACATTCCTTAATGAGTTTACAAGGTGCTCCAAGCTCTATTCTTAACTAATTCTCCAGCACCATCCCTCTACTCTTTTCAATTCCCAAGTCTGAACTTTGTTGGTAGTTTCCCGAACCTCTGGGCTTTCGCATGGCAATACTTAGTCAAGAGTATCATGATGGCCTTGACTGCCGTGGCTTCATGGGTTAGGCATCGTCCGGCTAGCCAAAGGTCACAGGTTTGACTCCTGTCAGGGGCACATGCTTGGGTTGCTGGCCAGGTCCCATGATGGGAGTGAGCCAAAGGCAACCATCGCTGTTTCCCTCTCTTCCCCCTCTCTAAAATTAAATACATAAAATATTTTAAAAAAAGAATAAATTTACCATTTCCATCCCCAGCCATCCATTCTCATGGGTAAACTATTCCCCCTTCATAATCCTTTCTAACTAGCCCCTCCCTCTGTTCCTCAGTCCAGTGCCCCCCTTACACGTCTCCCCAGAACCGGCATGGCCATCTATAGACAGACAGCCTCTCCAGAGAGTATTGGAGTTGTCAGTTTGCTTCTCTCTCCCTCCACACCTGCAGATAGGGATTGTATCTTCTTTATTATTTCATTCCTAGAGCTTAGCCAAGTACTAGGCAAACAGTAAAAACTCAATAAATATTTGTTGAATAATGACAATAATACTTATTATTATTTATTTTTACAACTTACTATATTCTAGAGACTGTGCTCAGTGCTTTATATAAATTCCTCCTTAATTCTCACAATAATGCTCTAAGGTAGAGCATACAGGTAGGTTAAGTAAAATACCCCAAGTTATACAAGTGGGCAAAACAACTTAAATAGTTCAGAGCTTGTACTATTAACCTCTGTGTTATAATGGATGGATATTGGTTTTATTATTTGTAAAGTGAGGGGATTGAACCAGTAGAATTTCTAAGATATTTTCAAAAATTTTGTGAGCACTTTTACTTGCCCAAGGTTACATAGGTTTTTATATTTATTCTGATCCTAGGCTCTGCTTATCTGTTATGATGAAATTCAAATGCCCAAATGCCCAATTCTAACCCACAGAATAAATATGTATTTATTTTATATGGCTCTTAACTATATTGTTTTCTTCAAAAAATGTCCAAGAACTCCCTGAATTGTGAGCAAAGTTTTTGTGTGTGCATACATATTCTCTACCTGGGAGGGAGGGTTTATCATCTTTCAGAGCATTCTCCACAGGCAAAAAACAAAACAAAGCAAAACACAATAAACAAAAATTAACCCCTAATATGCATAGTCTTCACATTTTCCTCTCTTTCTTGTTTTTTTCCTGTGTATACCTAGAACTGTACTAGAACTTGTTTAGATTCACAGTGATGAAGTAACATTCAGATATATTCTAGAAAAACATATTTATTGTTTGGTCCAATAATACTTCAGCTTTTTGATATCTCTCATTCTCTTTCTTTTTACAACTATTCCAATGATTTTTCCATAAATGGCCGGACCTACCTGTAGATTATCACACATCTCCTGGCTGTATGTTAACCGCTGAATTTCAGTTGGAGAGACGAGGTATAATGCCTGTCCTTCGTTGGTGAAACAGAATGTCCGTGCTATCCGCATGTCTGTCAGTGGCAGATAATTAACATCCAACATTGGGCGGAGACTAGGTAGGCTGCATGGAAAAAAGCAAATCCATATTTCATATTCAAATTGTTGGAAGCTTTTAATTTCTCTGTATAAAATTTGCAAATCCTTAGAGAAAAACAATTATGTTGATATCACTATTTTATGGTTGTTTCTTTTTAATCTCCTGAAGTCTCAGGGTTAATAAACTGACTTTGATATATAATCATATACACAAAAAGCATGGGCACAGTTCTTCTGTCTTAATCTATCTAGATACTTAGCAAATGTCCTTGAAGAATGACTAAATGCAGTGGCCAGCAATTTCAGGATACTTTTTGCAGCTTTTCATAGGTTCCTATGATATGGTTATAGTCTAATTATGATAGAAACACTGCTGCTAGAAAGTGCCTAATTGCATACTGGGTCTTTTAAGGCAATATTCCTGAGTCTGAGGATGCAATGCACTGATGGATACATGGAGTAGGTCCAGTTCACTGTGCTTGGGGATGGAGTGCCCTTGTTTCCCTTTCCTTTACCCCTCTATACACAGGAAATGAAAAGTTACCAATGACTTAGGGCACCTGCACTGAAGGCGTGATTAATAAATAAGCACAGCCAGGGCTGAAAGGGAAGGAGAAAAAGTTTTAAATAAGAGACGAGAATTTGCACATCCAAATGAATATCCCCAATCTCCAGTGTCTTACCAAATGGCTATGTGCTTATCCCAATGTTGTAGCCAATGATTTTGCTTAAATCCATCAGACTGTCCCTTTGGATACTGTCATTAGAGCCAGTTTAACAACCTACTGAAGAAAACCAGTCTCATTGCTTTTAAATCATACCTCTCATGCCAAAAGGAAAAAAATAGACTTTTAATTATATCTCAAACTTTGGAATCATCCTACTAATCCCAGTATGCACACTGATTTTAAATTATTCCAGATCATAAAATCAGCACCTTGAAAAAATAGAGCTAATTTCTTATATCAAAGTAGCTTATAATTACAATTTAAATCCTAGAACCTTACCATAGGAAATGGGACCTGAAATATGTGCTGTTGGAATGAGCTTTTCATGAGGTTCTAGCACTGTGCTGTCCAATGTAGTGACCGCGAGCCACACATGTCTAGTGAGCAGTTGACATATGGCTTGTCTGCCTTGAGATATTCTGTAAGTGTAAGTTATATACTAGATTTCAAAGACTTAGAATGAAAAAATGTCAAAAAGTATATGTTATGGCATTTCAAGTAACTAAGCTCCTTAGGGCAAGAGTCCAAAACAAAGCCAGTTAAGTAGACACCCATGATAGATTCAGTCAAGTTAATGCGTGATGGTGGAAAGAGGGTAATTTATTAACATATGTAAAATGGAGGATGCAAATCTATTTTCCATGTCCTAGGGAAGCTATAAGGATCAAATTAAATTCTGTATGTACAGTGCTTGCTTCGGCAGCACATATACTAAAATTGGAACGATACAGAGAAGATTAGCATGGCCCCTGCGCAAGGACGACACGCAAATTCGTGAAGCATTCCATATTTTTAGAAGACCAAATAAGAAGCTTCTCAGACAAAAGAAGTCTAAAAGAATACACCTCCACTAAACCAGCTCTGCAAGAGATGCTAAAGGGACTGCTTTAAGGAAAGAAAGGAAAAGAGAGAGTGAGAGAGGAACACACGTACATAAAAGGCAATGAATAAGTACCTATCAATAATAACCTTAAATGTAAATGGATTAAATGCTCCAATCAAAAGACATAGAATAGCTGATTGGGTAAGAAAATATGACCCACCTCAGGATTAAAGACCTGCACAGGCTGAAAGTGAAGGGCTGGAAACAAATTTTCCAAGCAAATGGACAGGAAAAAAAAAAAAAGCCGGGGTAGCAATACTCATATCAGACAAAATAGACTTCCAAAAAAGGTCCATAAAAGAGACCCAGAAGGTCATTTCATAATACTCAAGGGAAGAATCCATCAAGAAGACATAAATATTGTAAATATATATGCACCTAACATAGGAGCACCCAAATACATAAAGAAAATCTTAGAGGACTTCAAGAAAGATATTGACAGCAACACAATTATTGTGGGGGATTTTAACACCCCACTATCAAAAATGGACAGATCTTCCAAACAAAATATCAACAAAGATATTGTGGCACTGAACAATACCCTAGATGAAACGGGCTTTACTGATATACACAGAATACTCCATCCCAAAGAAACTAAACACACATTCTTTTCAAATGTACATGGAACATTTTCAAAGATAGACCACATGATAGGACACAAAACAAGCCTCAACAATTTCAAAAAAATTGAAATCATACCAAGCATTTTCTTGGATCACCAAGGACTGAAGCTAGAAACCAACCCCAAGGAAAAAACCCCCAAACACTCAAAATCATGGAGATTAAATAGCATGCTATTAAACAATGAATGGGTCAAGAATGATATTAGGGAAGAAATCAAAAGGTCTCTGGAAACAAATGAAAACGAACTCACAACAACCCAAAACTTATGGGGCACAGCCAAGGCAGTCCTGAGGGGGAAGTTCATAGTGATACAGGCCTGCCTAAAAAAGTTAGAAACATTTCAAACAAACAACCTAACCCTATATCTACAAGAACTTGAGGAACAACAACAAAGACAGCCCAGAGCAAGCAGAAGGAAGGAAATAACCAAGATCAGAGCAGAATTAAATGACATAGAGACTAAAAGCACAATTCTAAAGATCAATGAATCCAAGAGCTGGTTCTTTGAAAAGATAAACAAAATTGACAAACCTTTAAGCAGACTCATCAAGAAAAAAAAGAGAAAACCCAAATAAACACAATCAGAAATGAAAGAGGAGAGATTACAACAGATACCACAGAAATACAAAGGATTGTAAGAAATTACTACGAAGAACTGTATGCCAAGAAATTTGAAAACCTAGATGAAATGGACAAATTTCTAGAAAAATATAATTTTCCAAAACTCAATGAAAAAGAAGCAGAAAGCCTGAACAAACCAATAACAGCAAAAGAAATTGAAGCAGTAATCAAAAAACTCCCAACACACAAAAGCCCTGGACCAGATGGTTTCACAGGAGAATTCTACAAAGCATTCTAGGAAGAGCTAACCCCTATCCTTCACAGACTATTTCAAAAAATCCAAAAAGATGGAAGACTCCCAAACTCTTTTTATGAGGCCAACATAATCCTAATTCCATAACCAGATAAAGACAAAAGAAAGAAAACTTCAGGCCAATATCACTGATGAACATTGACGCTAAAATCCTCAACAAGATACTGGCAAACCGCATCCAACAGTACATTAAAAAGATCATACACCATGACCAAGTGGGATTCATTCCAGGTATGCAAGGATGGTACAATATTTGAAAATCAGTAAATGTAATACATCACATAAACAAAAGCAAAGACAAAAACCACATGATCATATCAATAGATGCAGAAAAAGCATTTGATAAGGTACAGCACCCATTTATGATAAAAACACTCAGCAAAGTGGGAATAGAGGGAGCATTCCTCAACATAATAAAGGCCATATATGAGAGACCTACAGCCAACTCATTCTCAATGGGCAAAAATTAAAATCTTTTCCACTAAGATCAGGAACAAGACAAGGCTGTCCACTTTCACCACTTCTATTCAATATATTACTGGAAGTTTTAGCCACAGCAATCAGACAAGAAAAAGAAATAAAAGGCCTCCAAATTGGAAAGGAGGAAACAAAACTGTCATTGTTTGCAGATGACATGATAGTGTACCTAGAAAATCCTATAGACTCCACCAAAAAACTGCTTGACCTAATAAATGAATTTGGCAAAACAGCAGGATACAAAGTCAATATCCAGAAATCAAAGGCATTTCTGTACACCAACAATGAAACAGCAGAAGCAGAAATCAAGAAAAAAAATCCCATTTGAAATAGCAAAAAGAAAAAATAAAATACCTAGGAATAAACCTAACCAAAGAGGTAAAAGACCTGTATTCAGAAAACTACATAACACTGAGGAGAGAAATCAAGGAAGACACAAACAAATGGAAACATATACCGTGTTCATGGATTGGAAGAATTAATATAATCAAAATGTCCATACTACCCAAAGCAATTTACACATTCAATGCAATACCCATTAAAGTACCAATAGCTTATTTCACAGACATAGAACAAACACTTCAAAAATTTATATGGAACCATAAATGACCCCAAATAGCTGCTGCAATTTTGAGAAAGAAGAGTAAAGTAGGAGGGATCACAATACCTGACACTAAACTATACTACAAGGCCACTGTAATCAAAACAGCCTGGTACTGGCATAAAAACAGGCACATGGACCAATGGAACAGAACAGAGAGCCCAGAAATAAACCGAAGTCTCTACGGTCAATTAATATTTGACAAAGGAAGCAGCAATATAAAATGGAATAAAAATAGCCTCTTCAACAAATGGTGTTGGGAGAACTGGACAGCTACGTGCAAAAAAATGAAACTCGAGCACCAACTTACACCTTATACAAAAATAAATTCAAGGTGGATAAAAGACTTAAATATAAAACATGACAGCATTAAAGTCCTAGAAGAGAACATAGGCAGGGAAATCTCACATACTTCACACAGAAACTTTTTTACTGACATGTCTCCTAGAGCAAGGGACATAAAGGAAAGAATAAACAAATGGGAGCTCATCAAAATAAACAGCTTTTGCACAGCTAAAGAAAACAGTATCAAAATAAAAAGAGAACCAACTGTATGGGAAAACATATTTGCCAATGATACCTCAGACAAGGGTTTAATCTCCAAAATATATAAAGAACTTACACAACTCCACTCTAAGAAGACAAGTAACCCAATTAAAAAATGGGCAAAGGACTTGAACAGACAATTCTCCAAGGAGGACATACAGAAAATCCAAAGACACATGAAACTATGTTCAATATCGCTAGCTATCTGAGAGATGCAGATTAAAACCACAATGAGATACCACTTCACACCAGTCAGAATGGCCATCATAAACAAAGCAACAAACAACAAGTGTTGGAGAGGTTGTGGAGAAAAGGGGACCCTAGTGCACTGTTGGTGGGACTGCAGACTGGTACAACCACTATGGAAAGCAGTATGGAACTTCCTCAGAAAGCTAAAAATGGATCTGTCTTTTGACCCTGTGATTCCACTGCTGGGACTCTATCCTAAGAACACTGAAACACCAATACAAAAGAACCTTTGCACCCCGATGTTCATAGCAGCACAATTTACAATAGCTAGGTGCTGGAAGCAACCTAGATGCCCATCAGTAAATGAATGGATCAAAAAACTGTGGTACATTTACACAATGGAATTCTATGCAGCAGAAAGAAAGAAGGAGCTCCTACCCTTTGCAACAGCATGGATGGAGCTGGAAAGCATTATGCTAAGCGAAACAAGCCAGGCAGTGAAAGACAAATACCATATGATATCACCTTTAACAGGAACCTAAACAACAAAACAAAGACACAAGCAAAATATAACCAAAGACAGTGAAATAAAGAACAGACTGACAGTGACCAGAAGGGAGAGAAGAGGGAATTTCAGGGGGGAATGGATAGGGTTTACAGGAACAAATTTAAAGGACACATGGACAAAAACTAGGGGTTGGGGGGGGTCATGGGAGGGAAGTAGGGAGGGTTGGGTGGGTGGGCTGGAATGGGAGTAAATGGGAGAAAACTGTACTTGAAGAATGATTAAAATAAAATTAAAAAAATTTCTGTATGTACAATTCTTGTGTGGACTATGAAACCTAATAAAAGTACCATTTCATTTATTTTCCTTATAGATTATTCATCTTTATATTTCCAGTGCCTAGCATAGCTTCTGGGAGATAACATATCCTCAAGAAATGTTTGCTGAATGAATGTGTGAAAGACTGGAAAAAATCACTCTTTTCTTAGATTCCTTAATGCCAATCAAAATATATATGTTATTCACAATGGAAAGCACTTTTAGCTAAAGGAAAAAATAAAAATCTTACACTTTCTCAAAGTGTAGAACAATAAAACATTAAAAAATAAAAGAAGCAAGGATCTCAGGTCACTTCTGGATAACACACATCTTGTACATTTTACATGTACTTTTCAGAATTGTACCTCGTTGGCACTGCTGTAATTAACAGATAATTTATAGAGAAGGCAAGTACCTCATTATCATGATATGCCCATTGGCACAAAAGCATGCCAGGCAGGCACTGTTACACATGACCACTACATCTGCTTGCAGTAGAAAAGATGTCTCGGTGATGTTATGAACATAAAGGCAAGTCTGAGAAGGCAGTGAATAAACTTTGGCTTGTTTTTCTGAGCAGATTATCGTATACTGATGATCTCCTATTTCTTGTGACAGAGAGGGACAGTTCATGACCAGTTTCCTTCTCCAAGATTTCTCATTTTCATCTGCGTTGTTTGGATCCCTCCAAACTTCATATGACGGTTGCATTAGTCCACCAGTTCGATCCATACAGGAGAATGTTAGCACAGCTCCTTTCAATGACAGGAATGTACCTATAAAAACAATTTCATATCATTGGCATGTGAAATTCTTTCTAAAACAGCTGTTATTTATTACAGGCAATAAATATTTTCTATTATGATAATTTATATCTATATATCATAACACTGAGGAAATATACATAAATAAGTAGATTTGTGAGTTTATCAGTTACAATAATTTGGAATTATAGAATGTTAGTTCTAACAGGAGCCTAAGACATCAACTTGTCTAACACTCTCATTATATTAATAAGAAAATGGAGACGCCCAAAGGTGGTGAAATTTGGGTCAGGTTACACAGCAAGTTAGTGACTGAGTTTGGACTAGAACTCAGGTTTCCTGCTTCTTAATCCAGTGTTCCTTCTTTATACTACATAGTTTCCTTTAAAATCCTTTTTTAAAAAGCAAATTTTAGAAAATGCATAGTACTTTTTATCCTCGCCCAAGGACATGCTTACTGATTTTAGAAAGAGGGGAAAGGAGGGAGAGAAATATCAGTGTGAGAGAGAAACATCAATTAGTTGCCTTTCTCACACGCCCTGACCAGGGCCAGAACCTACAACCCAGGCGTGTGCCCTGAGTGGGAACTGAACCTGAGAACTTTCAGTTTATGAGACGATTTTCTAAACAACTGAGCTACACTGGCCAGGGCAAAAAAGAATAATTTTTGCTTATTGAAATAACTTATACTGAAAAAATAATCACACCATCTGATTTCACTTATTTCATAGACTCATTAACTAGAGAATGCTTTTTTTTCTTCTGAAATTGAACACTCAGAATAAATGTCGTGAACTTTTACCAGCTAGAATTCAGGCTGGCAATTTTGATTATATGGAACAAAACAAACAAACTACCTTTGGCTCTTGGGCAGGCTAACCCACCTTTATACTGAAAAGAGATTTACTCATCTGCATTCTCAAAGGTTGAATATCCCTGACAGATTACTACCTATGGGTGATTTTCACCTGTCCCAGAAGACAGGATACTGTAAAGCTTAGCAGGTAACTTGGAATACATTTACCTTTGGACATTTCCAGACTCCCCCTTAAGCAATGCCCTAACAGCTGATATTCTGCCTTTGTCCTTTGACATTATGTAGTGAGAGCAAGAAGGTTAATCAGGCTAATAGGCTGCAAGAGTGTATATGTGACAGAGACACGAAAAAGAAAGGGTGATATATAAAAATACATTCCATTTAGAAAGTACTTTATAACTTGTAGTACTTAAAATTTATCAACTCCAAAATAACATGTTTAGATGATTTCTCATCTTATTTTAAAACCAGAATTTGTGGCCTGCGGATGTTTTGCAAGGTAACTGAAGAGGATAAGAGAGCAGAGGTTTAGGCACTTCAGTCTGAGGATCAAGGCAGAAAGAAGCCAGCTCTCCCAACCTCCCATGAAGAAAAAATAATGCCAATAGCCATGATGAATTATTTAATTAGAATTAATCTAGAATTGACCCTTCTATAAAACCACATTTCCGTAACTACCTGCCAAGAGAAAACTTTTCTAAGTATATCTCAGCATCCTCAATTTAGAGATAGACTAAAGTAGGTTAAAGAGACAAGAAACTTACATTTTTAATCCATTTTACTTATACCTGACACTTACAAGCTATCAGTATCAAAACAACAATTTCTTAATAAGCTGCTCTTGCCAAAACAGCTACTTTGTTTCCTAATTTGTGGTGAAAAAGGCTTTGTTTATATTTTGTTTATTAGGTTTTTACAGGGTGTTAAGTTTTCCCAACAATGTGTTATTGATCTTGATGACTCTGCCTTTATTCTTTACTAACTTAAAAAAAAAACTTAAGCAAGTCCAAATTACAATCTCTATTTTTCAGAATTATACTTCATCACAAAGTAAGCTTAAATTTAAGGGCATCTATAAAATCCTAACAATTCAGTCTATAGTAAATAATTGACCACACAATTCATTAGGATTTTCCTCTTAAAGGAAGTCTCACAGGCTAGAAGTGTACCTGACTCTAGCTTTCCAAATAATCAACCTTCCCTACTACATACAACCTTCATTTACTCAACAAGTATTTGCTGAGAACTAACTGTATGTTCTAGCTCTGCTTTAGGCACAACTATATAACAGTGAATAAAAAAAGACAACCCCCTACCTTAATAGAACATACTTTCTATGATAGAGACAGACAATATATATGATAAACATATATGTGTATATATGAGATATTAAGATAATATATGAGATAATATATAATATGTATATATTATACATAAGCTATATATATTAAGTAGTAATAAGTACTAAAGAAAAAATAAAGCAGAAAAGGTATAAGAACTCTTGGGAAAGGATGTGATTAAATTTTAAATAGGGTAGAAGGTGTTATTGACTAAATGTTTATCTGTCTCTCTCCCCAAATTCATATATCAAAGGCTTAACTGCCAGTGTGGATGCATTTGGAGATGGGGCTTCTAAGGAAATAATTAAGGTTAAATGATGGCATAAGGGTAGGGACCTGATGTGAAAGAATTAGTGTCCTTAAAAGAAGAGATACAAGAGAGCTCTCTTTTCCTCCCTGTGGGAACCCAGGTGAAAGGCCATATGAGCACAATGAGAAGGAAGCCATCTGCAACTCTAGAACAGAGCTCTCCCCAGATACCAGCAGTGCTGGCACATTGATTTGGGACTTCTAGTCTCCACAAGTGTGAGAAAATACAATAAATTCTGTTGTTTAAGCACCTAGTCTGTGGTCTTGTATTACGGGAGCCTGAGCGGACTAATACAGAAGAGAAGGCACCATACTGTGGGAATTAGGCAGCACGGGAAACCAGCACAAAATGCTGATATTCTGGCTACTGTGATTATCCTTCATCTTTGACATAAGAGTCTCATGTTTTCTATCAGCAGCAATGAAACTGGTAACCTAACTTTGTCTTGCAAGTTTAGTACAATCTAAAACATTTTATAGATCTTGACTTTCTAGAGCAGTGAAGGGCAGACTCATAGGAAATAAGAACAGAGAGATAATATGGAGCCAGGTCACATAGGTTCTTGTGGGACACAGTAAAGACTTAGACTTTTACTGAATTTGAGATGGCAACACTTTGAGAGTAGAGTGATATAACCTAATTTTCATTTAATGGGATCACTCTTCCTGCTGGGCATATCCTATGGGGAATCGGGGTTGGAAGAAGGGAGAGCAGTTAAGAGGTTAGCACAATAATCCAGATGAGAAATGGAGAGAGGCTTGCTCCAAACAGTTTGGTAACAGGTGGTGAGAAATGATTATAATCATTTATAATCTGAGTAGATTATAAAGGTCAAACCAACAGAATTTGCTAATAACTTGGACTTAGAGTGGGAAAGAAACATAGTGATTAAGGGTGATCCTGTTTTTGACTTGAGAAATCAGAATAATGGAATTGCCATAAATAAATACTGTGGGAAAGACTATGGGAGAAAGAAAAGTATATCAGAAACTCAGTCTTGGATATATTGAATTTAAGATGCTTATTAAGTATCCATTGGATGTCAACTAACTGGATATTTATGTCAGGAATTTGGGGATAGGTCCATCTATAAATGGAAATATATGACCCATCAGATTATAAATGGCATTAAAAGTCATGAGGCTGGCTAATTTCATCTAGGACAGGGTGTCAAACTCATTTTCACCAGGGGCCACATTAGCCTCATGGTTGCCTTCAAAGGGCCAAATGTAATTTTAGGACTGTATAAATGTAACTACTCCTTAACTAGGGGCAAGGAGCTTGGAGTTGCCGCTGGGTAGAAACAAGGTGTAGGCTGGATAAAACAAGGTGGGGGGCCGGATTTGGCCCATGGGCCTTGTGTTTGCCACCTGTGATCTAGGGCTTAAATATAAATAGAAAATAGAGCCCTGGCTGGTGTGGTTCAGTGGATTGAGTGCTGGCCTGGGAATCAAAGGGTTGCTGGTTCAATCCCAGTCAGGGCACATGCCTGGTTTGTGGGTTAGGTTCCCCAGTAGGAGGTGCATGAAAGGCAGTCACATATTGATGTTTTTCTTCTCTCTTTCCCCTCTCCTTTGTCTAAAAATAAATAAATAAAAATATAAAAAAATAAACAAATATTCCTAAAAAGCTCAGATATCTATAAAAGGAACAAAAAGGTTTGACAACAAAAACAGAAAATAGAAAAGGTTCAAAGATTGTCTTTGGGCAATCTGGTATTTTAAGCTAGTGAACTGAGGAGGAAACAGCAAAGAGGACTAAGATAGAATGGCTGAAAATGCAGGAAGAAAACTAGGTAAATAAAGTGTTCTGGAGTCCAAGTGCAGTATTTAAAGGTAGGGACAATGCTTAATTGTATATTATGTTGTTGATATGCCAAGATACTACCTGAGAATTGACCACTGGATTTAGCAATATGGTTAGTGATAACCTAGAGATTTTTGTTGATTGGTATGGGAGAAATATGGATCACAATGAACTCAAAACACAATGGGAGAATAAGATTAGAAATAGTGGTTATAACAACCATTGCAAGGAATTTTGCATTGAAGATAAAGCAGTGATTAAAGATAAAAATGGGGCATTATAGGAGAATAGATTTAAGAGAGGGTTTTTCTCTTTTAATGCGGGAAGTAACAGCATGTTTGTAAGCTGATCTAATAGAAATACTTATTATAATTATATTATACAGTTATGTATAATAATATAAATAATATAATTCTAAAAAGAAAAAAATTGCTGGACTGATTTTCTTGAGTAGGTAAAGGGAGCAGAATCTAGTGTACATGAATAGAAGATGACCTAGTTAGGAGCTTACATAGTTTAGTCATAATAATAGGAAAGAATGTAGAGACCATGGAGATATAGACAGGTTGGTAGATGTGGCGGTGGCAGCTGTTGAAATTCTTATCTGACTCTTTTAGTTTTCTCAGTGAAAGAGGACACATCATTATTAGCTGAGACTGAAAACAGCAGAGGAGGTACTGGAGAATTGAGGAGAATGGAGAAAATTGCAATGGTTGTTCAAGAGGAGACAGAACGAGATCACTAAAGTATGGCTTTAGCAACACAGGAGCCCACTTAAGGTTATTGATGATTTATTTCAAAATGAGGCTATTGGCATGGTTATATATTTTCTCCAGCCATAGTCAGCTACATAGGTATAGAAATAAAGTAGGTAGAATTAAATGTATCTTGATTAAGCTAAAATGCATACGCTGTTACAGGGTAAGCCAAGAGGGGGGACCCCCAAATGGGCAATTGAAATAGGGTCCAGAACTCAAGGTGTCCAGGAGATTTTAAGATGTCTTCACCCCTTCCCACACAGGTGTGAGTTGGGGGAAGGGACACATGGAGCAAAGAACATGCAGGGCTGTTTTGTACAGCAACAGCCTTACAGCTAATCCATGGCATGGTCATTTAACATACCTATAGCCTTTGGCTGGTCGCTTAGATATGCTAAATAGCTATAGCCATGCTCTGGGCCAGGGGGATGGAAAGGGACCCCCCAAGATGTGACTGGGGGGCAGGTCCCCCAAGTTACAGCACCTGCATGGGAGCTCGGAGAAGACTGGCTCCATGACATGGGGCCCACACCTGCCCAGACCCACGATGGCAACCAGAAAAGTTGGAAAGGACAGCAGATTGAGGGCAAGTGTGGGAGGAGTTGGAAATGGGGCTGCAGAGGAAGGTTGGCACGGGGATTTAAACCCAGACACAGCAGCCATCGAGGGGAGAACCTCGCGGTTTTGGCTGAGTGGGGACTCCCATGGCCCTGGGGGAGAGAGGACCATGTGGCTGGAGTGGTGGAGAGAGGACCACATGTCTTTGCCAGAGTGGGGACCCCTGCAGCATTAGTAGGGGGAACCACCACCTGGCTTTAGCAGAGATCCCAGCGACACGGCTGATGGTGCTGGGAACCCAGGGAGGTCTCCCAGCCAAGATGGATTACTGGGAAGAACTGGGGGCTGCCTGAGCCAAGGACTTCTATTTCCTTTCCTGAGATATGGTACCCCAGACTGGGCAAAGGGGGAAGGAAGGACTTTGTATGTTTGTGGGTGTTTTAAGGGACTTTAGGATTTTGATGAAGACATTAGGTCACTACTTTAAGTTTGTATAGCATTAAATAAACATTTCCTTTCCTTTTCACGAATCTCTGGCATTGAGAGACATCTTTCTTTTAAAAAAAATATTTTATTTATTTATTTTTAGGGAGGGAGAGAGAGAGAGAGAGAGAGAGAGAGAGAGAGAGAGAGAGAGAGAGAGAAACATCAATGTGCGGTTGCTGGGGGTTATGGCCTGCAACCCAGGAATGTACCCTGGCTGGGAATCGAACCTGGGACACTTAGGTTCCCAGCCCGCGCTCAATCCACTGAGCTATGCCAGCCAGGGCGAGAGACATCTTTCCTTTAGACAGTGGACATAAAGGACCTGGGGGTTTCTTTCGGTAATAGTATATCGTCCCAGTCCCCTCTTGTTGTTCTGTAACAATGCAATATTGTGACTTTATGTGTTTTGTCTTTATCACCTGTTCTGGCACAGAGCTCCTAAAACCCTTGGAATTTTCTGATGAGAGCAACACCATTGTCTTTTGTTATGTTAAAGAGGTGATCTTTGGCCCTCACATTAGGATGGGGTCTAATTGCCAGGGGAACCAACCACGTGCTTAGAGGGTTGGCTGAAAGAGAGGGACCAGAGATTGGGTTGTCATCAGTGGCTGAAGATTTAATTAATTATTCCTGGAATGAAGCCTACATAAAATCCCCAAAGGAGGGGTTTTGGAGACCTTCCTGGCTGGTGAAAAGGTCTCTTCCTGGCGGGGAGAGAGCATGAGAACTCTGTGTCCTTCCCAAATACTTTATCCTCTGCATCTCTTCTATCTGGGTGTTCATCTAGATCCTTTTGCAATAAACTGGAAACAGTAAGTAAACAGGTTTTTTGAGTTCTGTGAGCCACTGTAGCAAATTAATCAAACCCAAGGAGGGGGTCATGGCCTCACATTTACAGCTGAAGCACAGGTAGTAACAACCTTGATTTGCTACTGGTCTCTGAAGGGGGTCTGGGGGACAGTCTTGTGGGACTGAGCCCTTAACCTGTGGGATCTGATGCCATCTCCAGTATCAGAATTGAGTTAAATTGTAGGGCACCCAGCCAGTGTTGCAGAGAATTTCTTTTTGTGGCAAAACAACAACAACAACAAAAACCAAAACACCTTCCAGTGTTAAGTAGTGTTGTCAGTGCAGCAGTGTGAAAATAAAAGGTAACAGTGTGACATATAGGAGAGACACAGAAAGAGGAAGAACTGGGTTTTTCCCTATACAAGAGGTAAGAACTGTAGGTTTTTTCACCCTAGTCTGTGAAGTTGCACTAGTATGGTCAGCATCACCTGGGAGCTCATTAAAAATTCAAATCCTTAGATCCCAGCCCAGGACTATTTAATTGAATTAGAAACTTCTAGGGTAGCACCTAATAATCTGTGCTGTAACAAACCCTTCAAGTGACTCCGATTCAGACTACAGTGATTGCTATCAGAATGGATAATGCCGAGGCTTTCCCACTTTAAAATCTAATGATTTAGTGCATTTCAAATTTCCATATCATTGATTAAAATTTGTTCTCAAGAGAATCAAGATAAATTTATGTGAAAAGATTCCTTAAAGAAATGGGGGTTTTTTTGTTAAGGGGTTTTTGATTACTGATTCAATCTCTTTATTAGATACAGGTCTGTTCAGAGTTGCTATTTCTTCATGATTCAGTTTTAGTAGGTTGTATGTTTCTAGGAATTTATTCATTTCTTCTAGGTTATCCAACAATGGCTTATCTTTCATTTCTGATTTTATTTGAGTCTTCTCTCATTTCCTCTAAGTCTAGCTAAAGCTTTGTCAATTTGGTTATCTTTTCAAAAAACCAATTCTTAATTTCACTAAAAGGTAGGCTAAGGACTAAGAGAATTGTGCATATTTTCTTAAAAATTAGAAATGTAGTGTAGGGTCAGTGGACATGGCCCTTCCACCTCCAATGACAGAGGGCTGGTCACATGGCCACTGTCCAGAAGGGATGTGTATTGTTTTGGGAGTGGGTTGTAACTCCCTCCTTATCTTCTTTTAGGAGTGACTTCTTGTCCTGTGACTGCTTCCTGACCTTTTACACACTGAGGTAATGTAGTTTAGAGTCACATGTAGGACATGTGCTTCCTTTGTCTGGGACCCCCTCATAATGAGCCTCAGACTGGAGGAGGTGCCATCTCTATCACACTGACCAGCTGCCTTTGGTGCACTCCCCTGTTATGTGAGTAATAAATGGCATGTCCACATCAGCTAGTCCACGGGTGGTTTTTCTGGAATATCATGAACATGTAAGCAGCTCCCCAGTTTGGGTTTGGGGCTCTTCTGCTACATGTAATAAAAGATATTTTTTCATATGGTATTTGTCTTTCACCGCCTGGCTTATTTCACTTAGCATAATGCTATCCATATCTATCCATGCCTAATCAACAAAACAAAACAAACAAGCAAGCAAAATATAACCAGAGTCATTAAAATAAAGAACAAACCGACAATAACCAGAGGGGAAGTGGGAGGGGATAATTGAGGGGAAAGAGGGAAGGGTTTTCAGGAACATGTACATAGGACACATGGACAAAACCAAAGGGGGATAAAAATCAAGGTTGGGAAGTAGGGATGGCTGGAGTGTGGGGGAGGGTTGGGAAGAAAATGCAGACAACTGTATTTGAACAACAATTAAAAAAAGGTAAAGAAAATAAATAAATAAATAAAAGTTCTAAAAAAATGAAAGTGGCCTTTCTCATTGAAAAAAAAGATGAGAGTTTAAAAATATAATTTTTCAACTTTTGCATTCGGGTTTACTTTCGTGCTTTTCAGGAACTTATTTCCCAAGGCATTGTGTAGGTTGGCAGTTCCATAGTTTACTACCATAGAAATGGTTGTGCTATTTTACCCTAAAGGAAAGCTGCAACATGACAATGTTGAAATAGTATATGATTTATAAAGTTCTCTATTACATAGAATACTTATAATCTTTGCTGTAGATAAGTACAAATTCATGTTTTACAATACTTTAAATTTAAAAAAACCGATGAATGAATAAGTAAAAACTCTTACCACTTGGCAATACCATGACTGGCTCTGTGAATCTTTGTTCATCTGCTGAAGGTAGGTTCAGGGAGATGATCAACACCATTCCCAGGCTAGTTCCGACAAACAAACAAGGGGAGATGGTAGAGTCATTTTTTCGAGCAAAGGACTCCATGAAGTATAGTGCTGTAATTGCTTCTTTAGAATCTTTGTCAATACTGGAGATGCTAGAGCTTCTAGAACGATTATAGGAATTTTCTCGGCTTTCTATGGAGATTTAAAAAACAAAAATAAAATGTTAGTGTATTTCCAGAAAAAGCAAAGTGAGACTTGATACAAGAAAACCAAAATTATGAGGGACAAGCAGAATTGTGAGTCTTCGTTAACTGATCTGTAAGGCAGCTTATCCAGTTCACCAAGTATTTTGAAAATGAAGAGACTAAAGTCCAGAAGTGTCAACCTAAAACTTAAGCAGGCCTGGGACTAAAACGTGACTCTCCAGGTCACCATATTTTTCTCTCTACATTACCTCACAAGTTTAGTTGAAATTCTCTAATCTGGAAAAAAAATTAGATAGTTCAAGTTACAAGAATTTCTGGTATCATTTTAATTATGCTTCCCTCTATCTTTCAACTGTTGGAGGTACAGTATTCCTAATGATTTCTTGGCAATTTCTACTTACTGACAACATTGTGGTTACTAACGTCAAGTCATAAATGTTCTATGGCAAATACATTCCTCTAATGCAGTTTTTGGTTTTGCTGAATCTGGAGTAATTACAGTTGTAAAAAATGAACTGTTTACCAAGGCCAAAGAGCAAACATTATCTTCCTGAAGCAGTTTCAAGCTGCCTACCTTGAGTCCAAATTCAGTCCTAACTGCATAGGGCCAAATACGGAGCTGTAGACAATGCCATCCCTTTGATAGTGGTAATCTTTCTGAGAGGGCTTCAGACCACTTAAAGGAAATGGGAAGGTTTCAGGTTCTCCTGCTCATCAACACTTACACAATATACTCCCTCCAACAAGCATAAATTGAGCACCTCATTTAAATGGTATTAGGAAGGTTGTACTCTTCTGAGAAACTCCAAGTACATGTTTCTCATATTCTTCTTTCTACTGCCTTCACTCTCCTTTCTCTCTTTATAGGTATAAGTGTGACACATTTTAATTAAAAAAGACTAAATATAAATTCCTCAGACTACCCTTTTCCTAGAAAACAAAATACAGTATTTCTAATTTCCTCCTTCTATCCTTGAGCAAGTTACAGACATAATTGTTTGTAATAGAATTTAGATAAGAGAATAAGCTTGGATATAATCTAAATATTTTGTAGATTTAGAGAGAGATACATAGAGTTAAGTAATTTTCCCAGAACACAGCACAAGTTAGAGGCAGAAATATCTAAAATGCTAAATTCTTAACTCTTAATCCAGCAACTGAATGCTGCTTCTTTTGACCTTTATATTTTGATTCTGTTATAACATTCCTAGCTAATATGTTCCCCTAATTTTTCCATTCATGGTTCATCAGCATTCAAGGTTGCTACTCAAAGTACCGGTGATAGAAAACATTGTCTCCATTATCCCTGGACAAGATTTAGTATGGCATACTAATAAATAAAAAATAAAACCTAAACATTTATTTAAAAATTTGAAGAGTAATATAGATCATTGCTGTCAATTTTTTTGGTAAATGAGGTGATACATGGAATTATTTTATAGCACAGCAAATAGTTCTAAGATTATTTTTTCCTACCTCTGTCTACAAAGTTCTTTGTTAGAAAGACAGTAGCAGCAAAGTTACAAGATTCCTTCCTTTTTTTTTTTCCTCTCTAAAAATTTCTGGCCTTCTCGCTCTTATAATTTAATTCCTGCCCCCACAATCATTCCATAAGTAAGCAAATAATCCATTTTTTTAAACATATGAATGAGACTGTAAGCTTTAGAATTCAATATCTTGCCTTTTTAAAAGAGATTTTATTTATTTATTTTTGGAGAGAGGCAAAGGAAGGGAGAAAGACAGGGAGAGAAACATTGATCAGTTGCCTCTTGCGTGCGCTTAAGTAGAGACCTAGCCCCCTGACTGGGAATCAAATTGGTGACCTCTCAGTTCTCAGGCTGATGCTCAATCCACTGAGCCACATCAACCAGGGCTAATATTTTGCTTTTTCTTGGGGGGAGTCACATGCATTTGACAGTTGAGAAATTAAGGTTGCCAGACATTGAACATCTATTTACAGATAGAGACACTAAGAGGCTTACCAATGAGATGGGAAGAAACTCTCAATTATTTGAGAGTGTGGACCACAGATTAAGTCATAGGTCTCCCTTTGTACAGAGGAGGTGGGAACCTACCAATAAGCAGTCATCTGGTATTAGAAGTGAAGAAGGAGGTAGAGTGTGAATGGATTTGCAGTTATAGCCACAGTCTGGCCAGGCTCTCAGTAACTCATTGTGCTAGAGTTGACTAGTCTTTTATATCTTTTATACATGACTTGCATCCCTTGTCCTTCAGCTTCCATTACCATGGTATGCCAAATTTTAATTGTTATCCTAAAAAATTTGTATGTTTAACCAACCTTCTATTGTAACTGGTAAAGAAATCTCCATGCAAGCAGCTGACTGTGCTTTTCGAAATGGTGGTCTCCCAGGCCCCCAGCGATTCACTTTTGAAACATCAGCACTAGAAAGACGCTTTGCAGAACTGCAACTATGAGAAGTTGGACTTGTGCAGTGTCCATTTACATGATCTGTACCAAGAAAAAGAAGGCAGCATAAGCATCATAATTAAATCTTAATATTAAAAAATCTAAGTGCATAGATTAATAAATGAAGAGGAGTGAGAATTCTTTATGTTCAAACTATATAAACATGGCTAAGTCCTTGGTATCTTAAAATTTAGTCACAATTTCAGTAGTTAGCCAAAAATTTTAGTTATTAAATATAAAATTATTTTTAAAATTTGACTAGTTAATGTAGTTTAATATTCTATATCTTCACTATGTATTCTACCATTTAATGGCAATACAACTTTGTTATAGTACTAAACTTCCTTTTGATTACTTTAAATAAAACACCTATTTAGGTAAGTTTTAGGAGTAGTTCAGGTGCTTGTAGATTAAATTATAGGATAGAAGCATTTTACTGTGTGCAGTTGAGAATGGTACTTGAGAATATTCACTCAGGGTCAATCCAAGATGATGGAAGAGTAAGTGGAAGTTACACTAGCCTTTTCCAAGGACCAATCTGGAATTACAACTAAACTGTAGAGAAATCATCCTGAATAACCAACTGAATGCTAGCTGGAAAGAAGCCTTATAATCAAAGTCAGACAGAAGAAATCATTTCATCACAATGTGACTGGTAGGGAGTGCAGAGGAGGCATGAGAGGGCAGGCTGGGTTCCCACAGGTAGCACCTGAAGTTCTGGAAAGATATTTAGTGGCTTGGGGGTTCTCCCTGAGAAGTGTGGGGTGTAAATCACAAACTGCTCCTCACCAATAGCACCAGAGCCAGAGATAAACCCAGATAACATCCAGCTGTGAAAAGCAGCAGGATTTCTATTTGCAAGGGAGAGATGGCTGGAGATGCAGAGAGCTTCTGATGGACTAACACAATTTCATTCATAAAATGAAACAAAATTTCATTTGCAGCCACTTACCCTGGGCTCAGGCAGAGGGAGGGCAGAGTGGACTAGAGACACTTGAGGAGAGTCTGGGGCTGGTGGTTCTGGGGAAATAACTGAAGGATCAGCTATCAGGATCCCTATGCTGAGTCATTCCTCATACTGCAGGAGCCATCTTTTCTCAGGCACAGCACTCCTCTCGAAGCGGTATTGTTTCAGGCTTGAGGGGAAGCAACAGCCCTACCTACAGGAATTACTCTGCCCTACCCTGTGTTGCTTAAGCTGGACTGATAATTACAGCTTGATAACTAAAGAGCTTAACTTCTAAGGTAAAAAATATAAAGAAGAAGCTAAAAAGGGAAGACAAAGAAACAGACCCCAAATGAAAGAACAAGATAATTCTCCAGAGGAACAAGATGAAATGGGGGCAAGCAATTTATCAGAGAGTTTAGAATAAACTCTCAAGGCCCCTATAAATGCTGCCTCCAAGAGTCCCATCTCAGATCAAAAGATATACACAAGCTAAAAGTAAAGGGTTAGAAAAAGTTATTTCATGCAAATGGAAAAGAAAAAAATGTGGCCGCAGTACTTACAACAAAGTTCTTTAAAACAAGGCTACAATAAGAGACAAAGAAGTACACTACATAATGATAAAGGGAACAGTCCAACAAAGGCTATACCCTAGTAAACACTCACACACCCCACATAGGAGCACCTAAATATGTAAAGCAAATCTTGATGGGCATAAAGGGAAGATCAACAGAATTGTAGTCATAGTTGGGGATTTTAATACCCTATTACTTCAATGGATAGATCTTCCAGGCAGAAGCAACAAGGAGACAGCAATCTTTAATAACACTCTAGATCAAATGGATATAATTGATATCTTCAGAGCATTTCAGCCCAAAGCAGCACAATATTAATACTTTTCAAGTACACATGGAATGTTTCCAAGGATAGACCACCTTGTAGGACACAAAACAAGTCTCAATAAATTTAAGACACTTAAAATCGTATCAAGCATCTTTAACCACAATGCTATGAAACTAGAAATCAATCACAAGAACACTGAAAAACATGCAAAGACATGGAAGCTAAGTAACATGTTATTAAATAATGAATGGGCAACAAGATCAAGGAAGAAATCAAAAGATACCTTGAAACAAATGCAAATGAGGATACAACAATCCAAAATCTATAGGAAGCTGATAAAGCAATTCTAAGAGGGATATTCATAACATTACAAGCCTATCTCAAAAAAAAAAAACCAACAAGAAAAACCTCAAGTAGACAATCTAACTACACATTTAAAAGAACTTTAAAAAGAACAACAAACAAAGCCCAAAGTGAGTATAAGGAAGGAAATAATAAACTTCAGAGCAGAAATAAATGAAACAGAGTCTAAAAAATGATACAAAAGATCAATGAATCCAAGAGCTGTTTTTTTAAAAGATAAAGAAGATTGACAAACCATTAATCAAATTGATCAAGACAGAAAGAGAAAGGGCCCATATAATTAAAATCAGAAATGAAGGAGGAGAAATAACAACTGACACCAAAGAAACACAAAGGATTGTAAGTAAATATTATGAACAATCATATGCCAAGAAACTAGACAGCCTGGAGGAAATGGATAAATTCCTAAACATAAAATCTTCCAAAAATAAATTAGGAAGAATTAAGGAATCTGAGTAGTCAGATTACACCTAATAAAATTGAAGCAATAATAATAAAAAATAAAAACTCCCAACAAACAAATGCCCTGAACCATATGGCTTCACAAGTGAATTTATTAATTATTCTAAGAATATCTAACACCTCTCCTTAAACTACTTCATAGAATTCAAGAGGAAAGAAAGCTCCCAAACTCATTTTATGAGGCCAGCATCATCCTAATTCAAAAACCAGATAAAGATACTGAAAGAAAAGAAAATTATAGGCCAATATCCCTGATGAACATAGACACTAAAATCCTCAACAAAATATTAGCAAACTGAATGCAGCAGTGCATGTAAAAGATCATTCCCTATGATCAAATGGGATTTATTCTGGTAATCATAAAAACTAAAAGGAGGATAAAAACCACATGATTCACCACAAAACTAAAAGGAGGATAAAAACTACTTGATCAACAGATGAAGAAAAAGCTTTTGATAAAATCCAGCACATATTAGGAAAACGCTCAGCAAAGTGGGAATAGAAAGAATATACCTAAACATAATAAAGGCCATATATGACAAACCCACTGCCAGCATCATACTCAATGGGCAAAAATTACAAGCATTCCCCTTAAGATCAAGAACAAGACAGGGATGTCAGCTACCACCTCTCTTATTCAATATAGTACTGGAAATTCTAGTCACAGCAATCAGACAAGAAGAAGAAATAAAAGGCATTCAAAGTGGAAAGGAAGAAGTAGAACTGTCTTTACTTGCAGATGACATGATACTATACGTAGAGAACACCAAAGATTCGACCAGAAACTAGTAGAACTGATAAATGAATTCAGCAAAGTATCAGAATACAAAATTAATATTCAGAAAACAGATACAGTTTATATGCAAATAATGAACTAACAGAAAGGGATATTAAGAATACAATCCCATTCAAAATTGCTCCAAAAAGAATAAAATACCTGAGAATAAACCTAACCAAGGATGTAAAAGATTTGTACTCAGAAAATTATAAGAAACTGAAGAAGATACAAGTAAGTGAAGCACATACTGTGCTCATAGATAGGAAGAATTAACATCATTAAAATGTCCATACTACCCAAAGTAATCTATAGATTCAATGCAATTCCTATCGATATTCCAGTGACATATTTCACAGAAGTAGATCAAATATTTCAAAAAGTTATATGGAACTACAAAAGCCCCCACACAGCAATACTAATCCTGAGAAAGAAGAACAAAGTTGGAGGAATCATGCTATCTAATATCAAACTATACTTCAAGGCCATAGTAATCCAAACAGCTTGGTACTGGCATAGAAACAGACATTAGCTCTATGGAACAAAAGACAGTATTCTGAAATAAACCCACACCTTTATAGTAAATTAATATTCAACAGAGTAAGCAAGCTCATTCAATAGGCTAATGATAATTTATTCAATAAATGGTGTTGGGAAAATTGGACAGATATATGCAGAAAAATGAAACTAGATCACCTCTTACAACACACACAAGTTAAATTCAAAGTGGATCACAGACTTAAATGTTAGATCCAAAACCATAAAAATAGTAGAAGAAAACATAGGCAGCAAAATCTTGGATATTGCTCATAAAAGTTTTTTATCAAATATATCTCCCCAGGCAAGGGCAAAAAAAGAAAAAATAGGGAACAACAGTAAAGTAGATGAAACTGAGAGTCAAATCAATGATTTGGAACATACAAAAGCAAAAAACAACCAATGAGAACAATAAGAAGAAAAGAAGACCCAAAAAAACAAAGATAGTATAAGCAGCCTGTGATACAACTTTAAGCAATACAACATTTGCCTTATTGGAGTACCAGAAGCACAAGAGAAAGAGCAAGAAATTGGAAATCTATCTGAAAAAATAATGAAAGAAAACTTCCCTACTTTGATGAAGGAAATAGACATGCAAGTCCAGGAAGCACAGAAATTTCCAGACAAGATGGATGCAAAGAGGCCCACCCCAAAACACATCATAATTTAATGCCAAAGGTTAAAGATAAAGAGATAGGACTATGGGTGTGGGAGAATGGGTGAGAGGTGAGGGGCTTAAGAAGTACAAGTAGGTAGTTACAGAATAACTGTGGGGATGTACAGTATAGGAAAGGGAGTAGCCAAAGAATTTACATGCATAACCTGTGGACATGAACAAGAGTGGGGGGATTGCCTGAGGGAATGGGGAGTGCTGAGTGGAGGGGGGCAAAGGGAGAAAACCAGGATAATTATAATAGCACAATCAATCAAATGTAATTTTTTAAAAGGGGTATTCTCAGAATCTAAACATAAGTGCCCTATCTTGCTATATTTTTATAGGTATATGGTACACTAATGCCATGGGCTAAAGCTGAATACTCCAAGGTCTTGAAAATTTTTTATTTATTATATTAAGGAATATAGTTCTTGCCAGTTCCAAAATTTCCATTTCAAAAG